AAAATATACCCGTTTCATAGGCAAAAGAACAATCAATGAGAAAGAAATAACAGTTGAAAATTGGCAAAAGTTGTTTAAGTTGTGTACCTAATATACCCCTTGTCCCAGAAATTTTTCTATCGGAAATGGTGGTTATAGGGGTTTTAGAGCTGGGTCAATAGGATAGTTAGTTAAGAAAATTTGCAAAAGCAAGCGTAAAGTAGGAAAATGTAGTTAAATTTAGTTCCCGCGGCCCCTGGGAGAAAGTTGTTCAATATGTGCATTGAGGGCGTGCGTGGCGCTACGCGCCGCGGAATAAACTAATATAACTCTAAAACGGTATGTTGGACTTCAGGTTAGGTAACCTAGACGGCCCCCTAACATTCCATTTATATTTTTCCAAGAATTTCAAGAAACCCATATTTTGATAATCGTTAAAACGACAATGGAGTTCGGGAAAGTCTAGAGATATAAATCAGCAGCATTTGTAAATTCATTTAAGTAAAAATGCATCTAGCGGTTTTCAAAGTATGTTCCACTTCCTATCCTAATTCCTTACCCTTAAACCCCTAGTACCACCGTCTCCATAGGACAGAATGCTTGTACTTGGGGTATATTAGGTGCCCTTCTTCACCTACTGTTGCCCCATGCCCTTTGCCATCGCCGTGTACTAACGCTAAACAGGTCTTCACAGTAACGTGAACTACCTGCCCCCCCCTCCTCCCTCCCACTATGTACCCGCATGTTAGACAGATAGCTCCTACTCGATTAAACTATCGTGTTTCACCCTTCTAGGTTGATAATTAGTCAGACAGTTAATTTCATATGATTAATAGTTTGTTACCATGTACAACTGAATAAGAGATCAAAAAATTGCATGACGCGATTTGATCCTCCCATTCTCGTGGGATTTGTCTTGTTAAAATATAAAAGTTGATATTTGTCAATAAAAAGGTGCTACTTGGTGACCGTTAACAGGATAGACTATACGGGTAAAACCTGGACTGCGAGAACATACCGAAGTTGTTCTTTTCACAAGACGTCGAACCGCAGGATACAGTGATTTTTTTACTCCAAAGACTTGCTAAGTTATAACAAATTATTAGAAATTAATCAGGTACAAAAGGGCAGTTATGTTTTCTTCCGACAGAACATCTTCAGAAATAGCAACTGCCGCAAACTATCAAGGAAAATATTTGGTAATATTTAAGCTTTACGTTGCGCAGAATATCCTAAAAGTTTATTATCTCTTTGTTACTGTATTTTCCGTTTAATCGGATGACACGAAGAAATGACACATTGAAAAAATAGAGCACATGTCAATTCTATCTAACGGATCAAGAACCCTTTTTTTTCAAATATTGTATCGCCACTCAAAGCCTCCAATTAATTCATTCAGTGGAGTTACCTTAAGGAACTTCTGTCAGAGAAAACCTACCCCTTATTGCACCTATCGATTCGAGACTGACTGAACGAATCTAAGAATTGAAAAAAAATAAAATTTAGTAACAGGTATCCCTCAGAAACGTTGGCTCACGCTCATTTGATGTCTATTAAGTCTCGTGATATATAAAAACGCTTTGTAACTAGTAGTCTCATCTAAAATGTTGTTGTTTAACTCGAAAACGCTAGGCTTACGAAGTCAGAACAACTTATTTACAAAGTGAACCCGATTGCTGCAAACGTTGTCAGGCTTTCAACCTGCTGATTTGTACTCGATTTTAAGCTGTGGGTGCTTAATTAGTTGATGCATTACAGTGTTAGGAAAAAGAGTCAAGCATGCCCTACGGTCGCTGGCTACTACCTTTATTAATCATTCACAGCATTATGTTTTTTCTTCAAACACTAAAGGTAATTAAGGTGAATTCAGTCCTTTCACATGACTTAAGCAAATTCCTGTCTTTTTTCAGTTTCTTCTAAAGCCAATGCACATTTATGCAATAACTCCTTCAGAATAAAGCTTTTAACGTCCAGTTCGAAAGTTGCAGCAAATCGTTAATTTAACGTTGACCACCTAGTCTGGAATAACCGAGCCATATTATAAAAATGTCAGCAGGTAGTCAGTCGCATGCAAATATTGAACGATGTAAACCTATACTGACCGGATAGTTGCCGGGTCTAGCGCAGTGGGATAGATTACTAAAGTGAATCCTTTGCCACTGCAATCTTCAGGCTCGGTTCTGTAGGGGAAGGGAAGAAGTGAGACGCCAAGTGGCAGGAGTGGTGTATTCTGTACAGAGGAATTAAAGAATAGTATGGGGAAAATGATTGTCAGAAGAGCATGCATT